AGACAGTAACAACAACAGTTTAACTCGTGTTTGGCCCACAGAGAGGGACACAATCTGAGGGATGAAACCTTGAAGAGTGCTCGCCATTGTTTTCTAATTATGTGTAAGTGAGAGGAGATCGTCCGTTGCTCGGCTGGAGTTAGAGGCTGTTATTAAGAAAAGCCTCGACGTGTTGTTTAAAGACCAGACGTGATACTGGACTACGGCTGCACGTAGACCTGCTTTGCCAAAGAAAGTTAATCCAAACGCACACACACAGCTTTATTTTTCATTTGGATCTCTTTCTATTAGAAAGAACTGCTGACTAGTATTTACATTTGTATGTGCAATGCAAGGCCCGAATTGATCTCATTCTTTTGCAGTCAGATAGCCCCATTTTCTAGTACAATAATGTTGTTTTAATGCTTTAATTTACTATACTTAATATCAACATTGTGTTTTGCAATTTGCTGTGTAACCCATTCTAATCTGCACATTGTTTTCTCTCCCTTAATTAGAAAAGTAATTGTTGATGCTGCAGGCCCTTCTACCTCAAATTGTTATCGGCCCCCGCCTCTGAAATCCCAAATCAATATCTGCTCCTCGTTTGATTCTCTTCCTGGGCTTTATAGATTGACGGTCGGAACCCCCCCCCCCCCCCACACACACACACACACACACACACACACACACACACACACAGACAAATGCACACATGCACGCCCAAACGACCCTTTCTGTCTCTGATTCAATTGTTGACGCTTATCTGATGTCCCTGCAGCGCCGCCATGCTGGACGTCAGCTTTGCTAACTAATGTCAGTGGAACCAGAGCATTAGTCAAATAATTGAATGATATTTCAATTAAGGCCTTTGGAGGAGCATGAAGGAGACTCTGGTTGACCATGAGAGTTGTTTAACTGTGTGTTTGAGCGTGGGATTGGTCACAAAACCTGTGCGGATGCGTGTGTGTGTTGCTTTGTGTATGCATTATCCCTCAATATGTCACACACACACACGTTGTTCCTCTTTCTACCGCTATCTGACTCACACACTTACTCACTAACAGAGATTCGTCCTTCACGTCGGTACGCTGGTTATTAAATGTAAAAGGAATGTCAAGAGACACGCACCGGAGAACGAGCCAGTCCTTTTCGGGGCCTTGGCATATGGCGTCCCGACATGACAAGGACATGTCAACCCGAAGCTCTCAGCAGTTTATTGCTCTCTCACTCGCATTAGTTTTAGTGATATATTGGCGGAGTTCTCACTGACGGTGAACTCGGCAACCCTCGTTGGCAGAGTTACAGTGTATTTACATTCAGCAATACCCCACAGATCGCATTAAATGTTTGGTAAAATGCGGTTTTATTCCAATTAATTTGTCCTATTGTTCAGGAATCAGGAATCAGGATCAAGAATCAGGAAACATTTATTGGCCAAAATATGTCAAACATACAAGGAATTTGTCTTGGCGGTTAGTGCGCGACAGTAGACAGAAAAGACAACAGTGCACAGATAATAAAATAAAGTGGAATGAAATGCTAATGCAATGGGTTAGTAGAATAAGGCTAAGGCTATGGGTTAGTAAAAAAACAAGGGAATAAAGTTAAACAAATTATAAATATTAAAAAGTTAAAAAGAAAAGTATTAAGCATAAAGTGCACTAACAAACAAGTAACAGACAAGAGACAAAGTGACAAGTGACAAAGTGATGAATTGCAGTTAAAGTGGCATGTGCAGTGTGAGGGGGAGTGACCGGTGGAATGTTATAGTCAGGCAGTGGGGGACCGGGCTCTGTTGATGAGCCCGACTGCCGACGGGAAGAAACTGTTCGTGTGGCGGGAGGTCGTAGTCCTGATGGACCTCAGCCTCCTGCCAGATGGAAGGGGCACAAACAGTTTATGTCCGGGGTGGGAGGGGTCGGCCGCGATCTTTTTAGCTTGCTTCAGAGACCTGGAAGCGAACAAGTCCTCCAGGGACGGCAGATTGCAGCCGATCACCCTCTCTGCAGAGCGGATGACACGCTGCAGCCTGCCCTTGTTCCTTGGCTGTGGCTGCAGCGTACCAGACGGTGATGGAGGAGCAGAGGATGGACTCGATGATGGCCGTGTAGAAGTGGACCATCATCGTCTTTGGCAGGTTGAGTTTCTTCAGCTGCCTCAGGAAGAACAACCTCTGCTGAGCCTTCTTTGTGATGGAGCTGATGTTCAGCTCCCACTTGAGGTCCTGGGTGATGATGGAGCCCAGGAAACGGAAGGAATCCACAATAGTGACGGGGGAGTCACACAGGATGATGGGGGAGGGTGGGGCTCTGTTCCTCCTGAAATCCACAACCATCTCCACTGTCTCCAGAGCGTTGAGCTCCAGGTTGTTCTGGCTGCACCACGACACCAGATGGTCAGACTCCCACCTGTAGGCAGACTCGTCCCCACCAGAGATTAGTCCAATGAGGGTGGTGTCATCCGCGAACTTCAGGAGCTTGACGGACTGGTGGCTGGAGGTGCAGCTGTTGGTGTACAGGGAGAAGAGCAGAGGGGAGAGAACGCAGCCTTGAGGGGAACCGGTGCTGATGGTCCGAGAGGCTGAGACATGTTTCCCCAGCTTCACGTGCTGCTTCCTGTCAGACAGCAAGTCAGTGATCCACTTGCAGGTGGAGTCGGGCACGTGCAGCTGGGAGAGTTTGTCCTGCAGCAGAGACGGGATGATAGTGTTGAAAGCAGAGCTGAAGTCCACAAACAGGATCCTGGCGTAGGTTCCTGGGGAGTCCAGATGCTGGAGGATGTAGTGGAGGGCCATGTTGACAGCATCGTCCACAGACCTGTTGGCTCTGTAGGCGAACTGCAGGGGGTCCAGGAGGGGGTCGGTGAGGGACTTCAGGTGGGACTTTATCTTTCTATTACAATATCCTCCACTTCTTCATCTCTCGCTTATCCCCCTCGTACTTTTTCCTCACTGCCGGTTTCCTTACTCATTCTGCTACTGGTCTGAAAGTGTTGTTGTTTTCTCTCAGCACCCACACAAACACAGATTCCCTCTGTGCGGCTCTTCTCACACGTTCCCTTACCTCTCGCTACCTCTCCTCTCAACGCCACCGCTCCCCCCAGAGGCAAAGTCATCCGAGGTTGTGACGCCGTCCGCGGTTTTCCACCAGTGATTTTCCAAATTGTGCCACTAATTGGGTCTCTCCTGCCATTAAGTCAATAACAACCCTTCATAATAGAGTTTAATGTCCCCTAATGGGATAGTTTGAAGGCCGGCGGCTAATTAGGTCCGAGCTGTTTAAAGATAAAGCCTAAACTGAGTGATGGACATTACTGAACCACTGCGTGAATCAGGAACATAGTTAAACTAATTTCTGCTTTTCGCTTGGACCCCCCCCCCCCCTCTCCACCCCCTGAAACAGATTATACCGTTGTGGTTCATAGATCAGCCTGTATAATTTGTGAAACCGCTCTGCATTAACATTAATGATAACTCCAGGGGAGCAAAATGAAATCCATTTAACATTGACTGACAAATCATCTCCCACCTCCGCAAGCGTTTAGTTTTATTAGCCCTGATTGTATACAGGATCTGTGCGGAGGAAACCTGTGTCTGCTTTCGTTAGCTCATTAAGATATTCACACGTGCCAACCGCATCCGCGAGCGAGAGCGTTTATGCCGTCTCGCATCGGGAGTCATATTAGACTGAAATACGTAAGGCCCCGCAGGCGACAATGGAGGGATGTGAGGACGGCGGGGCCCTCGCAGCAGCAGCAGCTATCGAGCTGGGATCTTTGACGAAGTTTAACAGGTTCAAACAACATGCAAAAGAACCTGCACTGGAGTTTGAGTCTGCACGAGGCTCTGGCTCGATAAGGCAGCGTGTGGATGGATATAAAGTGAGCTGGAGAAGTCTGATATTGGTACCCATCCCAATCGTACAGGCCCCCAGGTTAGCGTGCTATCAAAAGGGGGGAGGCAGGGGATTGTTTGAAGAGAGGGTTGTCTGTCTGCACACAGCTGCAGTCGTGTGATAAAGAGGAGAGAGGTTTGATAGGTAAAGCCTCCTGCCGTTCTACCCCTCTCGCTGTCTCCCTCTGATTCAACTTAAACACCCATGTGAAGCACGAGGATACATGCTGGGGTGTTTTCTGCCTCGTAGCGCGTATGAATCAGCGGCCGGACAGTTATCCATCTGGGTTGTTAAATATTTGATTCATGCCTATGTGGAAGGTACAAATAGTGAGACAAGTGTGGACAACTCGTCCACGCTTTGATGTTCTGAAGGTGTTTTCCTCTTTCAACATCAAGGCAAAACATACGTCTAAAGAATGCTTCAAATTGTTTGCTTCATTTTAATTTCTATTTAAAAAGACTTTCAATCAGTACCCCCTGCACAATTGAAGGGGGTACTTTTAAACCTTCCTACAGGGTGTCTATTTAATACAAAATCCTAATTGTTGTGTGTGTGTGGGGGGGGGTCTGATCATTTAAGTCAGGCAGTGCTTTCTAACATCATGTTTTAGAAAGCACTGCAACGTACAATTACATGTATTGTAATGAATTAAATTCTTAAATGAATTTAAGTTATTTGGTCACAAAAGTCAATCAAAAGGAGTATTAAAATGAAAAAAGATGATAAGCTGTTGCTTCTCAACTATTGAGATGGCATTCTGTTTTTCATAATGTTTTTAGGTGAAGCTTTTTGGAAAGACTTTTGGGCTTTTGGGTGATAAAGTGGAGATGAAGACCCGAGAGGCTTAGCAGAGAACAGCAATGTCATCATCACGCCGGCATTTACAAATATCACAGTCTACACCATGTTAACTCTGCTATCGTTCCCTCTTTTAGTAGTGACATAGTCCGTCTCTGCTGTATTGCCCGAACCACTTTTCCTAACGGTGCGACCAAAAACAGGACCCCCGGCTCACTCCGCACCGTTAGCGGTCCCCCGCCCGCAGTTTGAGAACCACCAGTCCCCGGGACTGGGGCGACCTCTGTGCCTCCGACTCCGACTCCGCCCCCCCCCCTTCACCCCTTCCAGCCCGGACTCCCTCCCACTCCCCGAACCGGACGACGTTACGTCCCAACGCGAACCCACCACCACGTCGAATGGACTCCTAGCTCTTACCGGAAGGAGAAGAAGAAGAAGAAGAAGAAGAAGAAGAAGAAGAAGAAGCAGCAGCAGCGGCTGAACTTGTCTCTTATCCGTGTCGGATAAGTTTGTTTTTTCTTCTTCTTCTTCGACCCCCCCCCCCCCCCCGAGTTACGGCCCCGCGGCGGGGCAGGACAGCCGGGGCAGACCGGGGGAGGAGGAGGAGGAGGAGCGGGCGAAGGGGGCGAAAGGAGACCGTAGGATGTGGATCTGGTACCTTCTGCTTGGTTCGGGGTCCGGCTCGAGAACAGTTGGTAAGGTTGTTTTGTTTTTTTTTGTTTTTAAAGCAAACGGAAACCGCTTGTTGTGACGGCGCTCGACACGCTTTACCGTGCGGGTGGGTTAGAGGAGGAGGAGGAGGAAGGAGGAAGGAGGAGGGCGATGAAGGGATCTCTGGACGGAGGGGGGTGAAGCTTCTACACTAAAGTAAAGAAGTTATCCGACTTTTTTATTCGCCGAAAGTTGCTTTTTCTGCAGTTTAGTGTTGCGTTGTTGTTGTTGTTGTTTTGCGCGTGTCCCCCTTCACTAGCTGGAATGAACACGGCGTCCGTGTCACAGTGTCCTCCGGCTGGGTTACGACCGAGCGGTTGTTGACGGCACATGTGGGGACAAAGTCAATCGATCCTCCGGCCCCGCCGTGGACAGCTGGGGCCCTGCTGTTGGTGCTGGTGGAGGACACGGAGTACGCGAGAGGACAGACACTTGGCATTTGGACTCCTTTTGAACTGGACAGCTGTGGGTTTTGGGGATGGGGTCTCGATCGGGGACACACGTGCGTCCACATTTTGCAATTAGATAGAATGCTTTGAGGCAAAGTTAAAGGTACTTGAAGGCGGCTTTTTAGTGTAAACAAACTGTTTCTGTGGTGAACAGGCGTTGAAGAGTTATGTCTTATCTGGGAGACATACAAACATCGGTGGTTGATGATTTCTATTTGGCTTCCTTGGGTTCGGGGTCCTGATGTTTGTGGATCGTGGCTCACTGTCACGTGGTCACGGCCTACTGGGACGCTTGGACGGAACCATTGTAGGTTATTAGTAACACCTGTTGCTGGTTCATGGCAAGCGCGTGCACATGAATATCCTCGTGTGAGTGCAAGTGAAGTGTAAATATCATTTTATTAGGTGTGGAACAGAAATGTAGTGTTGCGTGATTGATGTCAGGCATTTATATATTGTTTTATTAATTAATTTGTGCGTATGTATATGTGTGTGTGTGTGTAATATATATATAGAAATATGTATGATAGATAGATACTTTATTGATCCCTCGTGGGAAATTTTGGTATCACAGCAGCATGTACAGGAAAGAAAATAGAATAAAAAGATACACATTATATACAATATAATAAGATAGAAATATTAAATTAAATAAACTAGAACTGAAACAAAAGAATAACCTTGCAAAAGAGACAATAATAATAATAATTTGTAAAAGGAGAAGAGGAAGAGGAAAGAGCAGCAACATCACAGCAGTACAGGGTTGTTATTGTCATTATTTAGCCAGAGATGATTTATTGTAAAGTGTTATTGCACTGGGCAGGAATGATCTTCTGTATCGGTCCTTGTGTGCGTGTTGCAGATGTGAGTGCGGTGCATTCCCCGCACAGTGTCCCGTGGAACCTGTGAATCACAACACAGTAAACATCGTTTTGCATGTTGTGAGCAATGAACTCGCATTAACGTTCACCAAAAGAATCATTCATTTACATTTCCACTACGGTACCCAAACTCTCTGCTCTGCACAATCCATACATTTAAATCCAACCTAATTTGTGAGGCTTTGCAAAGCAGCGGATTCAGTCTACCAATGGCTACATCTGTGGTACTCGACAAGATGTAGATATTAATTTGTGGCCTCTACTTTACATACGTAATGAGCCATACAGTACACAGGATGCTGCAACAGTCGGCCAGAGGCATTTCAGAACGAAAAAGACGTTCATAGTCTGCAGTTCATTTTATAAAATTGACAGAATTATCTGGGTTAGATGCTCAGCCTGAGAAGGTTCCACATTATTTGTCTTATTAAGTGTCACTCCTACTGTTCCTTCTTCTGGAACTTTGTGTGCTTTTGGTTGATAAAGCAGTTGTTCTAGTTGTATATTGTGTTTTGACTCAAAACAGATGAAGTGCAGAGAAACCTGTGTTCCAGTTTACGCACAGCACCTCTCCCACGGTAACAATATTAAATGCTGAGATATTAAATCTTAAATAAATACCACTTTTTGAGAGAATACTCACAGACTTTGCTTTTGCACGCTGCAGCCCAGATAGATCTGTGATAATATTTAGCTTATGAATTTGCCACACGACTGTATGAACGATGACTTGTTACGATGCCGTTACGAACGAGCCACATTTTTGGCGTTGGGCCGCGCAGCCTGAAATGACCGTGAGGATGTTGAGCTGGTGTGCCGGGCTGTGCACCATGTTAGCCGTAGAGATACACCGAGGTACGACGCCAAACAGATGAATTACCTTTACAGTTATTTATTTCCCAAGGAGTGTTGCTAAAGATCAGCGATGTGATTTGTGTGTGAGTACATTGCTCTCACACAGAGGTCATCCCTTAATGTAGAGCTCTTTTACACGTGTGTGTGTGTGTGTGTGTGTGTGTGTGTGTGTGTGTGTGTGTGTGTGTGTGTGTGTGTGTGTGTGTGTGTTGGCTGTACTTTGACTTAAGAATATATTAAAATACTTACTCGCTGCAATCCCACATTATATAAGTAATAATATCAGATATCACACTCGTTCAAAATGCATCTCCTCGTCCGTCTCTACTCGTGAATACAAAGTGCAAATGGGAACGTTTCCTTTTTGTTAAATCCACCACACACGCACACATACACAAGTGCGTTTCGACTTGCTGTCACGCGTTGCAGCTTTAAAATGACACGTGCGTTTAGAACGAGCAACCTCAGGCAGCTCGGAAAAGCCGATGTCGTGCTTCTGTGCCGAATTCGGCGGGGAAGCGTGATGCTTTTCCACGTCGCTGTCGGGCTCAGTTCCCCCCCCCCCCCCCCCCCGGCTCGCCCACTCAACAGCCGCACAGTACAACCTGCAATACGCCTGTCACAGCCTCCTTCTCAGTTCTTTTTTGTTTGTCCACAGCGTTGTATGCAAGGAGACCATACACACTCTCCTGACTCCAATACGGCTCAGTTAGCCGGCTGACTCGGCCACTTTAGGATCTCCTCAATCAACGTGAACGTCCACTCCCGTTGCCTCCCCGCTGGGTCATTTCTCCCCTTTTTGAACGGGGAGACAGAGTTGCACTGTGTGCTTTGTATTTCCTCCACCAGAGAGGCCAGTCGGCCCCATAAAAAGCTCTGCGCCCGTGCTTATCTTCGGGGGAAAGAGGGAGGGAGGTGTTGACGGTGGCGGCTGACGGTGCTTCCTGCCGTAGTTGCCGGAAGGAGGCCTGGGATTAATGCGTAGCTCGGTTTCCCCCCGTAGCTGTTGATAAACAAAGACACGTGGCTGGAGTCAGGTCTCGGGCCACGTCAGCCCAGCGGCTTTGACGCGAGGGTCGGCGATCTTCTTCGTGGTAATATTTCAATCATATCTGCTGAAGTTCTCTTTGCATCCCGAAGGCAATCAATAAAACAAACGCTCTGACAAAAAGGAAGAACAAACGCTCTATGTTCATGCTCTTTGAGCATCTGTGATACATCGGTCATGAGGCTAAATGTTTCATGAACCCCGGGGTGTGCGGATCGAAGGGGACGCAGAGAAACGGAGGGTCAAATTTACTGGAAAAAGTTTGGGGACAGCTCATTACACATTGATTTTGGATTGATCCTAAACTAATTCGCCATGCAGCGATGCACAAGCTTTGTTAAGCCCCCGACGGTGACCTTCTGCTGATCCACCGCGTCCTTGGATGCTAAAGTCAATCTCCACTCTTTGAGGAATCTGCTTCTTTATTGAAGACGGACGTTTTGAGAATTCTAGCCAATAGATTTTGGTGTTGTGTCCACTTGTGAATATATACGTCCCTCCTGCTTTTTACCAAATATAGTGTCGGATCGGTACATGGGATGCTGGAGGATTGATTTGTGCTGGACCGTCTGCAGTCTCGTAGCTAAAGGCAAGAGCAGCTTAAGATGTGCTGACACGTTTGTTTTCAAGTGAGGCCCAAAGACAGAAAGCTTTTTTTTTTAAGCATTTTTAAGATCGCCGCTGTATGTTCACTGCGCCCGAGAGAGAAAAGCAGATTTACTTGGTTTTACAATGGAATGAACTGTGACTCAAAAGAAATGAAGAAGTGCAACGATGGTAACCAATCACACCTGACGTTGGTTACATATCTTATCGATATCAAGTCATTTTATTGACGGTATTGTTTCAGATGCAGGCTCCGCGCTCATCTGATCTTTCAACAACTACTGAAGCTCGCAGTAAACCGCGTGATTTATCCGACCACAACAAGTGGAGGTTTGTACCGGCAGCCTGACATTCTTTACCCCCACTATGCGACACCAACATCTTGTTCGATATCGATTAAATAACAATAACTATCTTCAGGCACTTTAGAATCCTTTCAAATGAGCCGAGTAAGCATATAAGATGTTGCCAACTCCGGAGCTGTAACCAGTAAGACGAGTCAGTGATCAACATGATTGTTACTTGCCGCCCATTTTCATTTCTTTTCTGTTGCTTTTGTGTAGTGCAAAGGTATTTCATCCCCGTGGAGGCTTTTATTTGTGTACTTTGAGGGTCGTTAAGCTTTTGGATTCACTCGGATTCTGCGTATAAAATGTCAGGTGGTGCTGCAGATTGTAGTTACTTTGATTCTGTACAAGGCCGATGTTAAACATTTCGATTCGCATGACTGCGAGCTGTCGGCAGTGAGCTGGTTGTCTCTCTCGAGTTGAACCCCCGAGCCTTTGCGAATGCTCGACCCTGAAGGTGATGATATACAGGCATGTATGGAATGCAGACTTTGGACGATCTTAACTCTGCGGGGGGAGTGAGTATTTATTTATGAATTTTCTACCAAGCACATTTGCTCATCTTGGATTCACCACTTTTACCTTCGTCCACGGTGTCCCCTCTGAGAGGACAATGTTGTGTTGCTCTGGGACAGGGAAGGGACACTGGCCGGCTGACAGCTGGCTCCCCTGCTGCCCCCCCCCTCCCCTCCTCTGTGATTAGCCGTCATTTGCTGCACTCTAACTCTGCCAGTGTGGACGGGCTATTTTGGATCCCAGCATCCTGCTGTCAAACCAAACAAACACCACATTAAAGGT